TCCGTCGAATAGAGGTCAGGCAATAAGCCACTCTGAGTCTTGGCTAGAATCTGTAACTGCTACTGACATTGCCCGCTGTACAAATTTCTATAGAGAATTCTCAATTGCTGATACTGAGGAACAGCCTGATATCTCTACTGAAACTGCTGTAAATCCTTCTGCCTTATCTAATAATCAACAAAGACGAGCTATCTGCCAAAATTTTGCTTCGCTTTCTGTGCCCTCAACCTGGTTTAGTGTTGAAGATATCCCGATATGGCCCATTATAATCCTTAAGACTTCTATCTTTGAAGCGCAGCCCAACAAGACTATTCCTTCCTTGATGAAAGATCACTTGGACACGTTATTGAGTCAAACATCGGCTGACGTTGGTGGCATTATCGAAATTGAGTGTGGTTTTGCATCTCTAAAAGTCAAATGTGAATCTGTGTCTGATCGGTCGCGACTGGCAAAATTTCTTCAAGAACAACTTGTCAACTGGACGGTGGAGATTCCTACATTGAGAAATCCTATGTTACGTTTAAATGGAATTAAACTAAATGCTGAAAATCATCTGGAGGTAAAAGATTGGTTAGATCGCCTGAAAACTAGAAACAAATGGTCTGATCCGTTGAAAGTGGTAAAAGTTAACCATGCTTTCAAAACCAAATCGCGTAGACTGGTTGATCTAATTATAACTGTTACCCCTGAAATTCGAGAGAAAATTGGTCTTCGATATGGTGCTGTTAATACTGGAGCCTGTTTAGTTAGAGCTCTAGATTACTTTGAAATAAAGTATTGTGACCTTTGCTGTGGTTATGGTCACACAGCCAGAATTTGTGGAAAGGTTACGAGATGTGCCTTCTGCTCACGCAACCATACTGGAAAATGTGATGCTGAAACAGATCGAAAAAAACAGAAATGTCCAAACTGTTTTGAGATCGGGTACAAACGCCTTGGATAAAGATTGTTTTGTCTTCAGAATTAAGTTAAAACATGAACTTGAGAAGACTAATTTCAATTATAAATTCGTTATGAATTGAACTTGATACTAAAACTTCAATTCTTCACTTAACTTATTGAATTTACTCAATTAGTACTTCTAGATATTCTTCATTTCTCTTATTACACTTCTTTGCAACTATTCTTTCACATTACTCTATTAACTAAATTACTTTCAATTAACGCTTCACACTTCTTCTCTACTTAACTCTAATCTTTATAAGTTAGACTACAAACTCAAGACTGACCAGCTGCAACATTGTAAAAGTTACTTGTTAACAAAAATGTGTGAACTTTTTTCTAATTCTGCCTTCCTTATATGAGCTTGCTTACTAATTAGTTTAGCAAACAAACTATTCCGTTCAACTTTCTCTGAAATTTCTATGCTCATGTTACTAATTAATTCTTTCTCACTGTGATTAAAAAGTTAACTCAACTTCTACTAACTCAACTGGCGTCACTTGACTTTGTAGCTTTTTCACTTCTGACTCGACCATTGCCAGTAATGCTATCTCAACGATTTAGTGAAGTTATTCCTCGAAGAATCCTTCGTGAACAACAAGCTGCTAGACTAAATTGGTTCGCTGTAAACGGTATAAAGAACAATATTGGTATACTCATCACCTTTACAAGGACGAGTTTGAACTTGAATCCACATCTGGCTATCAGAGAATCTGTTAAGAATTTTTTGGATCTTATCCCGAACCCAGAAAATAAAATTCGCCACATCAGAAAGACTGGTAGAAAGGTACAAATCTTTGTTAACACACAACAAGATTTGGAGGTAATAGGTAATATTCTAAATCAACATCTTCCAACTTGGAATTGGAGTTCTTTTATACCTGGTCCATCGATAATTAAATTCACTGTTCCTTTCAACTGTGATATTGGGGATAAATCCTTCCTGACTCGTGTTCTCATCTCACAAAACAACTTAATCTCTGACGCGTCTACTAAAGTAAACTATCTCATAAATAATCTTCAAACTTCCTTGACTTTTATTTTTCAAATTAGTGCTCGCAACAGAGAAATCCTACTAGATAAAGATTTCTGGGTTAACTTTCTACAATACACTGTTCCTGCTTACGATCATCTTGAAATTGTTTACTGTGAAACTTGTTGGAAACTAAATCATTATTATAATAACTGCTCTCAGCAAACGAAGTGTAAGAATTGTTCTCAGAACCACGACCATAACGTTTGTGACTCAGAACCAGGTCAATTTTCTTGTGCCTCTTGTACACCTTCAACCTCTACCCATACTACATTATCTCTTCAGTGTCCTGCTCTCAAAAGTGCTATTCGAAATGCCTGTGCCAACATCGAGCTTGATTCAAAATGGCTCGTCCTCGAACCAAACTTCCCACTGGCCGATGACCCTATACCATCTTAACACTGCCAAAAATCGTGCTACAACTGAAAATATGTTAGCTAAAGGTATTAGAGACACCAAAACAGTTTGTTCTATTGTTGAAGCAAACCGCTTCACTCTTTCAAAATATGCCGCTGCTCGTAATGTTATTATAAACGATCAGACAGCTTTAGTTGTGTCAAATGACCTCACCATCTTTGGATACGAAAGAACTCAACCAAATTTTATTACTGCCCTCATTGGTAGGTCAAACAAAGCCATCTTAATTCTGTGTGTGTATCTAAATCCAAAACTAGTGTCTGACTTAATGCCGGTGCTCATCCAACAGTTGGAAAAAATTAAAAAATTTCCGTTCCTTTGTATGGGTGACTTTAACTGCGAGCACCCGTTCTGGTCTATCAAAGATAAACGTAATTTGTCATCTGATTCACTTGCCAACTTCATCAAACAACACTCTCTCACCATATACAATCCGGAGCCTAATCCAGACAGTTTCACCTTCAAAAGAGGAAATAACTTTTCGTGGATAGACCTCATTTTCGGTAATGTAAGAACAGACAATTTTTTACTCTCTCCAGACGTCATCATTGACCACAAAATACTCTCAGTTGATTTTGCTTTAGCTCAGGGCTTTGAAGATAAACTCAGACAGAGACAGTTACGAACAGTTCACCGAAATCTTAAATACCCACAATTAAAAACCAACATAGATCTCAGCTCCTGCTCCCAAATAGACTCAACCTTCAAACATATAATGATAGATCATCTTAGTGATAGCAAAATCTTCAGATTCAGGACAAATAATAGCAAAACTTTACGACTAAGAAAAAGGATAAAAAGTATGAAAAGGAATAATAGTTCCAATCACTCAAATGAAATAAATGAAATGATTAAGGAGCTTAAACTTCAGGAGAGAGAGGAAAGACAGAAAATAAGGAAAAACTCTATTATTTTTGTGATGAGAAACTTGAAAAATACTAAGGCTATATGGCAAATCTTAAATAGAATCATTAAACCTGTTGATACTCTATCAGCACTACTAGCCGATGATAATTTAAAAATGAATGAACTGAGAGGTTTCATTTATTTGAAACCACACTTTGGTCTCACCTCTGGAGCGGAGAGAAACTGTCTGGATGAAGCTGAGCTTGTTGCTCTGAGAGCTCTCAACTTCACAAAACAGTCTGGATATGCTGATGATTTTTCTCTACGAGCTTGGAATATTTTCTGGGAAAAGAATAAGGAAAAACTCATCAAAATCATTGCGGAAACCTTTACATTGGGTTACATTCCTCAAACTATTAAAATTTTTGGGGCTCATCTCATTCCGAAACCGGATGGCCGTTTCAGAATGATCCGCATCTCTAATTTTATGCTTCAGATCTATGATAAAATACTCTCTAAAAGAATTCAAAAAGTGCTACCCCAAGTTATAATCAAAAACACACAGTTTGCCTACCAAAACAATCTCAACACACTTGATTTACATGTAACTCTAACCAACCACTGGCATCCCTCAAAAAGCCTGATTTGTGCTGATTTGGAAAAAGCATTCGACACGGTAAAAATTGATTTCGCTTTAGATGAGCTATCAAAAGTCTTATGTTCTTCTGACATCAAAATGATAAGACAGTTTGTACATGGGAGATGGTTACGCACCAGAATCAATGATACTTACAAGTACAGACCTGATGTTTTTGGCGTTCCTCAGGGCTCAAAGGTTGGACCCTTGCTGTTTATTTGTGCCCTTAACAAGGTTATTCGGTCTCTCAAAATGAAATCTATAAACATCATGGCTTTTGCCGATGATGTTTATGTAGTTGCTGAATCAAAGAAATGCAAGAAACCAACCAAACATTAATGTACTGAACTCCGGAA